CTTACGTCATGATATGTTTTTCAGCCATATTGTCCAGCCTTAGTCTGTACCTGAAGGTTCTTGTCCTTTCTCAATTATTGACTATGTGGTGACTTTTTTGATTTTGTATTTTTGTGTTTCTATCATGTAAAAATCTTTGGACTGCGTTGATATATGGAAGAATTTTGGACAAAACTTAAACACTGCAGGACTTCTGCTTTCATAATCTGTTTCAGAATATATCTACGTTTCCACGTAAATCTTTATTCGCTGCTCGTCTCCATGAGGGTCTGGAAGTTGTGAGTGACCCAAACACGGGGCAGCTCCAGAGTTCACACAGGGCAGGAAGCTGAGGGGCCTCGCTTCCTTTTTATCAGGAGGAAGCAGGATGGCTGTTTGTGCTCAACCCAAGAATTCCTTGTGCTTATCTCGCATTCACGCCTTTTCCTCTTTATAACGGCTGTGCTGAGCAGGTAATGAGGTAAAAGGTATGTATTAGACAAGCTGCGGCGGGAGATAGCGGACCCTCCAATAGGCTTAGGCTTCGGCTCCGGTGGGGGGAGGAACTCTCAGCTTCATCTCAGGATGCGACAAATGATCTCGAAGTTTCCCCACAGCCATATTTTCCTTTACGTATTTTTCCAGAACTAATAAACCAGTTTACACAGGTATCCATTAAAGGCTGAGGTCATTGCACAGAGCGAGCACGCTCGGTAAATCTCAGGGTTTTTTCCCCGTAAGGATTCTCCATCACCTCATGCTCTTTTCATCCCCAAGATGTATTCAAAGCTCTGCGAGGGGCTTAAAGCGGGCCAGCTGTCGGGATTCGTGACACGGGTCTGACTGGTGGGGGGAGTTACCTCAGGAGCTCTGATCAGTTCAGGACCCAAAAATTATACTCCAGTAAGAAGAGCAAACATATTTTTACTCAAGTAAAAAGTAGCTATTCAAAAAATTACTCGAAACGTATTTGGTTAAAAAGTACCAAGTAACTAATCAAATTATCAATCATTACATCATCAGAAGGATCAGAATATAAAGTTAAATGGAAATTTTGGTATATTATGGACAAAAATGACAATAATTTGTATAGGTTGCAAAAAATAACAAAATCGGGCGAAATAATTTTTTTCCAAATCAGTTGCTTCCAGTAAAAAAACTTATGAAACTTTAAAAAAACTGCAGGTGTGTGTCTGGTGAATTTTTGCTTAAAACATGTTTGTTTTTCATACAGTGGGTAGAAAATTCTGACATTTATTTACATCTTGTTTTTAAAAAAGTTACTCAGCATTAATTATGTTACTATTGTTTAATTGTTTTTTCCTCTTTCTGTTTTCACCAACTTAACCTTTGGTACGTAAATAAATTTGACATTCACATTGACTCAAGTAAATGTAATTGAGTAAATGTAACTAGTTACTACGCAGCTCTGGCTCTGATGCACTGAATGATGCTGAAGTTTGGGCGCCACAAAAAGTGCCGCATAAGCCATATAAACCATGTTCCATATGGTCACCTTTTTCAAACTGTGGTCCCCGGACCACTGGTGGTTTGTGAACTACTGCATGTAAACAACAGTTTGTTTTCCATGACGTAAACTCAAAGTACGACGCTACAGTCAGGATTGTGTTTAAAAATAAAAATGGATAAGTAGCTTCCTGCAGAATCGTTGTTTTTGAACACTATTAGGATGCAAAGCAGACTGCTAACAGTCTGCGGCTGTGAACAGAGCTGCGTCCCGCGCTGACTAACTGCATCTACACACCTAAAATAAAATTATTTATGTTGGAATACCTACTGGCTGAGGGACAATGTTTGTTTTTTTCCAAAGCAACTCAAGTCTGTTTTCCTTTTATCATGCTTCTAAATTAAAAATAGCAGTAACAGTCACAGTAATTGTTATTGTTGGGGCAATTTCAAGTTGAGTGTTTGTTAAATGGGGTAAGTGGTCCTCGGACTGAAAAAGTTTGAGATTTAAAGGTAAAAACTTGTTTTCGTTCCAAAGTTTTTCATGGTTTTTCTAAAGTTTGCATCCTTCTAAATCCAGAGGTGAAATAATGTGCAGGAGCTCCAGGAAAAACCTTCTCCTGTCATTGTTCTTGTTTTCTGCACTGGTTAACACTCAGTCTTCAATATTCAAGCCCCTGTTAGGAGTTGCTTCTTGCTTGTGTTTGTTGCATACATTAACTGGTTTCCATTGTCACATGATTTATTTATTACCCAATATGGAGGCTTGTGCTCTGCTTATGAACTGACTGAGAAAGGAAAATCTGTTTGCAGAATGAATAATGTAGTTTCCTCGATGCATCAAGTAAACAGTCTCAGTAGATTAGTTCTCGGTTATTAATACGTCTGTGACTAAACTAAATCCAGTTAACTCTGGATGCACCTCATGCAGATTTTTTACTGCTATTTGTTTGGTTAAGGTAAAGAAGATAAATCTGATAACTGTTATTTCGTTGGACTCTGGATCTTAGAAAGCCCAGTCCAGTGAGATTAAATAAAGAAAAGGCTTGGAGTTGGGTTTTGACCTTCTTTACTGTGAAATTCTGTATGCACAGACCCTTGTTTGGAGTGTTTTAACTAAACAAACAATGCAACATAAATAGAGTTTTAAGCTTTTCTGGACATGAACGTCTCCCTTTTTGCATGTTTTCTTTAATATCTTTTCATTGTTGCCCTGCCAAAAAAGAAACGTTGGAAACTGTGACGAAGCATTGATGCTTAACTTGACCGGTTTTCTGCTCATCCTTCACAAGGAGAGTCTTTGCTGGCGCTAATGTGATTTCCAGCTTCTGTTTCCTGTCCAATATGTTTCAAATTTACCCTGCAGCTGAACGCAAGCAGCTAACAGCTAATTCACCATGAAATGATCTCTAACAGTTTATGATTTAAATAGTTTTAATCAGATATTATAAACAGTTTTTCATTCATGGGCTGTTTGCAGCAATATGTTGGCTAACTTCCTGTCCAACCAGATGCTGCTGCTGCTGCAGAGGCAGCTAGATCTTTGGAAGCTAAATTCAGAGATTGAAGGTGTCGTTCAGCGATCTTGATCAAAGCTTTATCAAAACTTTTTCGATGATTCTTGTCATGAATTGACACTGGAGTATTTATGCAATTCAAAGTTTCTTTTAAGTCCTTATGAACGCGTATAATTTCATATCAGGGTCAAAATCTGCTGATAACGCTTTCAAAGACATTTACATAGTGTCTGTTGTTGAAAAATAAAAATATATGTGCAAAAAATGTATCGTATTCAGTTTATTTTAATACAAAGATCCTTTATTAATCCAAAGGGAAATTAAGCTCTTTGTCCATCTGATGAACTTTCAGACTCTTATTTTTGTAAACTTCTTGCTTTGTGAACACATTTATGTTGCCTTTTTGTTTTCTGTTTTGTGGCTTTACAGTCTATCAATCCTACATATAAAAACATATATATATATGGAGAGAGTGTGACTTTATAGTGTATTATAAATGTAAGCACAATCTATTTCCACCAAAAACATGGATCAAAATGATAATTATATAGATTATAATTCAATAAGATGGGGATTCTCTGAGGAGGAAAAGGTTTGTGAGTTATATGGATGAATACAGTTGATGACATTTTGTTGTTGTTTTTTTGTGAGGGATGACACCGGCGCTGCTTGGCTTTGAGCCGTTTCTACTCTCGCTGTGACTCACCGGGCCCAGAGCTTCTCTCCGCTCCTGACTCAAGCATTTTTCAGATAAATTGGGACTCTCTCCAATCTTCTGGCTTTTTATGGTTGCATCAGCTGTAACTGGGTCCAACATTTTCTCTTTGTGCCTCCCTGCGCCTGGACTCTCCTCCACATTCCTATCTGAAATAACACAAAACGTGAATACAGAAATGCTGTTGTAACTATTTCCATTTACTTGAGTAAATTTTATGAAAACATTTTCTTTTATGTGTATTTTTGCTACCCTGAAATTTTAGTTTTACTTTTATAGAGTACCGCTATTCTTACTTGAGTAAAAGTTCTGGATTTTCTGCTCACTGAATGAAAAACTGTTTTTGTTAAAGTTTAATAAGTTTTATATTGGAAAAAATAATTTGGAAATTTGCCTGATTTTATAATTTTTTTTGTCATTTCAATAAATTATTGCAATTTTGTCTTTAAAATACAAAAATTTCCACTTAACTTCATAATTTGGTTCTTCTGATTAAGTAATTTTTAAAAATTAAATGCTTGATATTTTTAGTAGACTTTTTATGAAATATTTTTTTACTCTTTCTTGAGTCACACCTTTGATATTTTTCACTTTTTTGAGTAGAAATATGTTGAAGTATCGCTACTCTTCTCTGTCTGGTCATCAGATGAATTCATAAAATGATCAATTTCACGTCTCACTTTTTGCTCCAGTTTGGGATCTGAACTCTTTAGAATATCCTATTGATTTCCATCCACTGAAGATCACGTACTCGGGATGATTGGTGGGTCATTTGGACTGAACATATCGTCGGGCCGGGCTTATTAATGGTGACGCCGGTAATGAGGTCGTTATCTTTGTGTACAGGTTGATGCAAGATGTTTACCCATTATTTTATTTCTTCTGCAAACATTTATTTCTGATACGAATCAGCTGCAGACGTATCGACACGGTGAGGACAGTCGCTGTGAATAAATGATGCAGCTTTATTAGCTTTCTCCACTTGTCCTTCTGAGGGATTTATTTCCAGGATGACTCGCGGTGCATCCTGCCTGGTTAATAGCACTTTAATGTCTCAGGCAGTGATAATGATCCCCCCCCTGCCTCTCCTTACAGCCTGCGGGTGAAACACAACTGGAACCGGCGTGCTTTTCTATTTAAAACTTCCAATCTATGCTGCATGTTTTAAGACATGATCGTTTTTACTTGAAAGTGAATATTTCAAACCTTAGCAGATGTAATTGGGCTAATTTTATTCCAACTTCTTGTGTTTGCGTGTATTGCCGGGATGGGTTGGAGTCGGTAAGCAGCTATAAAAAGGCTCTAAATTTTCCTTCCTCTAGGCCTGCTGCGTTTTTCTGCTGCCTTTGTAGCCCGCACACCTGGTCCACCGCGCAGCTCCCTGCTGCTCCTCCGGGATCAGAGCGAAGCCGCGGTCCCTCCCACAAAGTGAGACTCGCCACAGGTCTGATATGCACATGGGCTGCTTTGTTGGATCAACAGAATCAGGGGTTGCAGCCTTGATCTGGAGAATCTGACGGGGAGAAGGAGATTAATGAATGGGTGATATTGTTACCTAACACCTTAAAAACAAGCCCTCAGATTAGATGTGCTCAGACTTTAATTAGTGTTAGTTTACCTGTGACTGAGAACCACAATGCTTTAAAATCAAATCAGTTTTATTTGTATAACACATTTCAGCAGTTGGGTCTCTCAAAGGGATTTACCTCATAAAATACAAAGTCATAAAACATCGTCAATGGTTTGGACATTTTGTCGTTGAACATTGACAGCTGGGTTTTTAGTCTGGATTTTAAGGAACTCAGTGTTTCAGCTGTTTTGCAGTTTTCTGGAAGTTTGTTCCTGATTTCTGGTGCATAGAAGCTGAAAGCTGATTCTCTATGTTTGGCTGCTCTGCATCCTCAGAACCAGAACCAGAAGGCCTGAGAGATTCTGGAAGGTTGATATGAGAATCAGTTTAGAGAATATTTTGAATGTTTTTTAACGTTCCTGTGGAGCCGTAATAGTCTGTAGAATTAGACGTAGTCTCTTTGTGTTGTCTTGTTTTAAATTTTTGTTATCTTGATTAAATTAGGAGGAATTATAGGCTAATGATGTTTGTAAGAATTCCATCTTTTATGTGCAGTAAATTTGATCAGATATAAAAATTAAAAAAAAGACTTGGATGAGAGTATAAAATGTCTTCTTCTCAGAAATGAAAATATATAGTATTTTTGGTCTCGTTTCCAGTGTAAATATCTCAGTTCACTTGAAGCCTAGCCTAACTTACTTGTAAGTAAGTTAGGCTAGATACATGAGCTTGTTTTGAATCAATATTAACTTCTTAATATTGATGGAATCTGGCAGATTATTTCACTTATAACAAGACATTTTTCCCATGTTTTAAGTGAAAAGTGAAATTAAAATAACTGTTTTTCTTAATTTTAAGATCCTGATAAATGTGCTTCTTTATTCTTCCTAAGGATGGAAGATTGAAATGAAAGCTTGAATTAAAGGTAATTTATTTTTTAGAAAAGCAAAAGATAAAAAATCAATTGAAATCAGAAATTAACTCTGGTTTGTTCAACACTTAGAGTCTTGTCAATATGTTCAACTTGCTTTTAAAACGACACCAACATCTCTCTTCACTGCAAAAACACAAAATTTTATAAAGTAATTTTAGTCTAGTTTCTAGTGTAAATATCTTAGTTGACTTGAAATAAAACAAAACGAACTTCTGCGGATAAACAACTTATTTTAGGTCAATAATTCCTTAATATTGATTAAAAAACATACTAGCTACACATACTTTCAATTATGTACTTAAAACAAGCTCCTATTTGTTGCTGAAATGTTACTTGGAAGTTAGTTTTGTTTTATTTCAAGTTAACTATTTGCTCTAGAGATTTTAGATTTTGTGTTTTTGCAGTTAAAACCCTTAAATGAGAACTGAGGATTTTCAGTGGATATGAACTGATAACAGTGTGTGTGTGTGTGTGTGTGTGTGTGAGCGTGTGTGTGTGTGTGTGTGTGTGTGTGTGTGTGTGTGAGCGTGTGTGTGTGTGTGTGTGAGCGTGTGTGTGCGTGTGTGTGTGGGTGTGTGCGTGAATGTCTGTGCTGTTTTCCATTTTTTCCAGAGCTTCGCCTCACATTGCATGTGATGAGGAACTTGCAGGGTCATGGTGGAGTCAGATGAGGCTCCCCATGTGACCCAGCATCCTCCTGTGATGCTGGAGATTTGTGTTCAGATTACTGAGAGCATTCTGGGACACACTCAGGACATGCTTTTAAAAGTTCAAGAATTATTTTATCTGAGTAGTCTGATTAAATAAGAGCCTTTTAACAAAAGATGCTCCGTTTTTTCTTTTTTCCTCTTCGCTTCTCACAGGGGAAAACAATTCGACAGAAAGACGGAGTGGCACGCAGCTTCATGCTTTTTTGATGGTGGCTTATGAAATTTTTAGCCTTCCGCTCGTTCTGAAAGCGCGGCACTCCAGACGGCGTTCGCGGGTCAGCGCACTAAAACACGGCCTCTGTCCTTTGGGCAAACAGTCGGTCAGTGCCATCCAAAGTGTTACAGCCACAAGCAAACCAGGCCATTAGCGTGCGAGGAGGGAGCGCGCTCGCATTTTAGCTCCCTCTTTCAAACTTCCTCAAGGAACTGCGGTTTTCCAAGAAGAGATGCAGTTCATTTTCTCTCCTAATAGCTTTTGGAGGAAATGCATTCGAACTGTGAAGTCGGTTCCCTTTTTTCACTTAATCCACAATTCTCTGGGCGCTCTTTCCTTTGAAGCGCGCAGTAAATAGAATCCACTGCACTGGAAACACATCCAGCCTTTAATAAACCATTTGATGTTTATTAAAGGAGTTTGGTTTTATCACGAAACGCTTTAGAGCCCAGAAATTTGCTCCAGCGCGTGTTTATCAGAGGCTGCACAGCACCGACAGGTGTCCCTACCCGCTGAATTTAATTTGGCTGCTGCGATGATTGATTTAAGTTGATAATGAAACTAAAAGGAAGGTAAAAAAAAACAGCAGAACATCAGGTGATCCTGGCCGCCTTCCTGCTGATTTCTCACCTGCACCAGGTGTCGAGTCGTCCAGCTTCACGCCGGCGGCCACCTGTCTCCGCTTCTCGGAAGTGTTTCCCGGAGCAAACGCTCGCTTTGGGAATGCCTCCAAAAGCGTGCGCCTGTGAGAAATGGGCTCAGATTATGTTTCCCAATAACACTTGGCAGGACGCAGATCCCAGATGAAATGCTCGGATGCCGAAGCCAAAGTAATTTTGTTGCTGATTTCTTTTTGAACCTCCCCCCCAACTGAGTTGATGTTCTTTTGGCTTCACAAGTATGAAGAGACGCATAAAAAAAATAATGCAGCTCGCTGCCGTTTGAACCAGACAAATGACAGAACAGACATTTACTCAGATGAATCTGTTTGATTCCTAAACCTGGAGCTGATTTCTCCCACAAAGAGAAACCATAACAAGGAAAACAATCCAAACTGGAAACGCAGCTTTACTCCAGTTTGAAAAATGGACACCTCACTATTTATTTAATAAAGAGCACATGTCTCTAGTTTCTGAAGCTGTATGTGGAGGAGCGTCGATGTCTCAAACGTCCGTGTAGTCGATTCTGTGAGCTTGTTAAAACACCCACTTCCAGTATTCAGTCCACTCTCCAGTTCTCTGCACTTATTCTGTTGCTTTTGGCTCAAACTGCCGCTCTGTTCTTCTTCCAAGAAGCTGGAGATTTTAAAAGAAACGAAGGAAAGAAAGACATATCTCCCACTGCAGTTCTTCAGCATCTGGTACCGAATACATACTGGTTTTTATTTAAACATTCATCATCTAGGAGGAAAAATAATCCAACATTTGATATTGGAATCATTTTAACCCTTCCATGCATGAATTACGATTCATTATTTTTCACTAAATGTTTTTGATTTTCTTAAGGCATAGAAAAGGTGGTAAAATATTTTGTAAAATAACATTTGTTTATTTTTTCTAAGTGATCGATTGTAATTTTCTCCATATAAAGTTATTTAGAAAGCACATCAGTAGTATTAGTGTTTATTGATGTTTGATAGTGTTTGATATGTTTTACCTGCTACAGTGGAAGGAGGGACTGGATGTTTCTGAGTCGAGTCTCTCTGCCATATTGGATTTAACAAAACTTTTATTGGACTTGCGTTGGATGGCCAGTAGTTGTATTGTGATCCGTGTGCATTCATAACATAAAAATCCACAAGAAAGACAATAAGACAGCTTTTAATTAGCTGCACTGCAGTGACTGTTATGCATGTTAAAACTTATTTGCAATCTTAAAGCATTAAGTTGACATCAACTGAATTATCTAAATTTGTGTAGAGTTGCGGAAAAGTTGCATTTCTTCTGGGAAAATATAAATGGTTTTTGACGTTTGAGATTAAGAAGGTTTGTTTTTGTCTTGGAAAAGCAATTTATTTTCAAATGCCAAAAGTTGTGTTCATTTTTTGTTGCCTTTGCATGTGAATACAGTTCAGTGGGATTAATTTCATTTTTGCTTTGTCTTTATGGTAATCTGTCTGTTTTCCCTTCCTCTGACATCAATAATACACCCGCTGCATTAGTGTAATGCTCTCCTATGTAATAGCTTCTCAGTAGATGCATAAAACAGTCTTTTGGGGCTGAAGCTTTACAAGCAGCCTCAAACAATACACCAGATCAGATTTAAACCTTTACATAAAAACTTACTTCATCATGAAAACCCCAGCTCTTTGTTTTATGGGCATGCAGCGCTACGTCGGTTGTTTATTTTTAACTTTATGTTTGTGGTGAGGCTGATTGAATTATTTACCCGCCAGTAAAGCTGCAGCTCAACCTTTTGGATCATTGCTCACAGTTTCATCACCGGCCCAATAATTACTAAAGTTGGCATCAGCAGGATCTGCTCAGGCAAGAACTGTCATCATTTCCCTCCCATATCTGCTGAGACACCTTCAAGTAAATCAACAGAGATGATCCTGTGCGTATTCTAGGTCATTACACATTTTTATCATCTTGTTTTAAATCCTAAAGGCACGTTTTTAGACCGTTTTCTCATCATCATACTGCCGATGTATCTCTGACCCTCAAACTGCCTCAGATCCGTCATGTTTTGTGGCCTCAAACTATTGACTTGTGTTTCTTTAGGGACTTCATTTTGGAGCTGCTCCAAGCAGCTCGGTTTTCATCCTCTCCCCATCGTTTCTGTGGCCCCCGTAAATCAATGTGATGTAATTGTATAAACTCCCTTTTCCCACAGCTCTGAACTGGAGGCACAACTTTCTCAGGGAGAAAGTGATTCAGCGTGACCCGCTAACCTCAGCCTGTTGATTCCCACAGTGTTGTTGTCCTCGTCCTGTGAAACACAGACTTTACTCTTTAAATATATGTTTCAGAACAAGTGCGTTTGCTCCAGCAGTGTTTAGTGTTTGTTCAATTTG